CCCCAAAACCCCAAAACCCCAAAACCCCTCATCTATCTTTCATATTGAAATGAACCCAAATCAATTATCTCTTCACACCGCTAATACTTCCATACTCTACTTAATCCTTCTCCCTCTCTTCGGCTCCTTAAGACTCTGACGTTCAGGCATCTCTATTCGATCAGTCAAGGGCTCTTGTACGACTAAAGGGTTAGTGAGGGAATACCTTCGTGAAAGATTGGACGAGAAGTGCATCTTTGGTGGATTCTTGGAGGCTCAAGGGAGGAACTGGAGGAGAATGAGTAGTTGTGAGACGAGAATCTGTGCGGTGGGTTATTTATTAACTTCCTCAAATAATAGAATGCAGCGCAACTTGTTATAAAAATACAAATAAGGAGCACAAGTATAACAATAATGTATACGATAAACGGAATCTCTTCATAAAAGTGATTGAATGTCGACTCTTGATCATCATGGCCAGTCTGTTGATCATGTTCTTGCTCAGGCCCCACTTGGATTGAAATATTGAAAAACACATCGTAAGGATCTAACCATGACGACGGGCTAGTCAAGATGTAAACGTCAGCGGAAGGAGGGATTACGACAGTGGCTTTTTGGCCTTCACTTAGTCTGTGAGTCAGGGAAACTTCAAATTTGTGCTTTGGAATAGTGAATATTGTAACATTTCCTCCTCTGAGATACTCTACACACAAACTTAAGAGAATGAACAACTGCGGGTTTAAGAAAGTAATAAACTTTGACTTAGCCTAGACTCAGGCGACTAAAGAGATGGAAACTTTGGGCTAACAGGTTTTAGGGAAAGGTATATCTGATCACCTGGATTCGTAGTAACTATTAATAGTTACATTACTTTTAAGCAAGCGTTAAGACATCTATAATTTGTATTAAAAAATCTGCAGAATGATGTCCCTAAGTTTCAGTCTTTTTGTAACTGTCAATAATATTTCTAACACAAGAGTACAACCTCTACCAAAAGTTTCATTGTCATTAAACAGTCGAAAATATTTTTAAAGCTATTCAAGACTAATAATTTGTAAGATAAACAGTACAAAATCTATCAGAATCCAAGTCCTTACCAACAGTAATGCTAAGATTCTTGATATCTTCATTTTCAATCTGTAATCTATAAGAGCAAGGATCATGATTAGGAATGGATTTCTCTATCCTAAACTCTTGAGAGCCATGATCTATAAAGTATCTCTTTTGGCCGCATTCAGGCTTTGATTCAGGACAGAGAAGCATGTCAGCATTATTGACAGACCAGTTAGAACTGGCGCAGATATATTTATCAGAACCAGAGCAATAGCCTGAAGTCTGGTCATTGTAGCATCAATGCCCAGAGGATTCATAATCTCCGATGACTGTTCAGTACTTCTGTGCTGTGTGGACTATTCAGAGGTAGCAGTAGGATACATTGTGAGTCCAAATGTACAAGTCTCTTACTGGATCAGTATTAGGCATGCTCAGCTGTGATTTAGTAGCAGTATCTTGTCCTTGAGCAAGAGTAATAGTAATTGATATTATTATTGCAAGCAGCAAGCAAAGTTTACCCCACATTTAATTTTATTATTTCAAGTATCTTCAGCAACACTGGGGTTTTGGGGTTTTGGGGTTTTGGGG